GTACAATGCTGATAAGTTGGCTAACTTGTATGTTAATGAAATTGTGAGATTACATGGCGTGCCAGTATCTATTACATCCGACAAAGATCCTAAGTTCACTTCAAGATTCTGGCAGAGTCTACAGCAAGCTCTGGGAACTGAATTGAGGCCAAGTAGTGCTTATCACCCACAGACAGATGGTCAATCCGAACGGACCATTTAAACATTGGAAGACTTGTTACGGATGTGTGTTCTAGACTTTCAAGGTAGTTAGGAAACGTACTTACCGTTGGCCAAGTTTATGTATAATAACAGTTACCATTCAAGTATCGATATGGCTCTTTACGAAGCCTTGTATGACAGAAAATACCGATCTCTGATCTATTAGGCTGAGGTAGGTGATAGACCGTTGTTGGGACCAGAACTTGTGCAAGAAACAACTGAGAAACTGAAACTGATTCAACAAAGCCTAAGAACTGCACAGAGCCGTCAAAAGAGTTATGCGAATGTCTGGAGAAAAGATAAGGAATACGAAATTGGTGACCATATGTTCATTAAAGTAACTCCAATAAAAGGCTAGACGTGATTTGGGGTGAAAGGCAAGTTGGCTCCAAGATATGTTGGGCCATATGAAATTCTTAAGAATATCAATTCAGTAACATACCAAATAGCCTTACCTCCGGTGATGGAAGACATGCACAACGTTTTTCATGTTTCAATGCTTCGAGATTATTTACGAGATTTGCTTCACGTGACAGAACCGACTCATGTGCTTCTGAAAGATGACTATATTTATGAAGAGAGGCCGATGCAGATTGTTAATCGAAGAATCAAGAGATTGAGAAACAAAGAAATCTCATTGGTGAAAGTCGACTGGCAAAATCATAGAGGAACCTATGCAACTTAGGAGACAGAGGAAGATATGATGAAATGATACCCTAAACTGTTTCCTTTAGACTCGATATTCTTCCAAAATGAAGGAAATTCGAGTTTGGAGGACCAAACTCTTTAACAGGGGAAGACTGTAACAACCCCAACCCACGATTAATGTTAATCCATGATTTAATATGCCTAATAAGCTATTAAGATCAGATTTTAATTAATTTCATGTGTGTTGTATTATTTGTGTTTTTATCTATTCATCGTAGACATATTTGTTTGAATTTCTGTTCTGTTCTATAAATCGAAGGCCTTATCGGCATCCAATTGCAAAATTGACTTGAATTATGTGTTAGTTAGAATTTTTAGAATTTTGTAATGGGTTCAATTGAAATTCAATTCAGAATCAAATAATTAGAATAAATGATCTCATTTAGTTGTTCTTAACTTAACTTAATTAATTTTCCTAAGTAAGCACACTTAAAGCCACTACCACCATTTTGTATACATTTTACACTTCCTTTCCTCATCCTTTGAGCTCAAAAACGTAGAGAAAGAAGGTGATAATTGTGATCAAACAAAGGAAATACTAGAGAGTGAAAGGAATTAGTTTTGGATTTAAAAGTTTGGTATGGGATTTTAGTGAATTCACCATTTGGAGCTAGATTGGAGAAGTAAGGTAAGAATTCAACCCTTTGGTTGTGTATTTAAGATGGCTAATGTAAGAATTCAAAAGAATATAAAGATTCAAGTCATGATTTAAGCCAAGGAAGATGAATATAGAAAGAATTCAACCATGCATGCATAATTTACTAAGATTTGTAAGTTGTTCCTCAAGAATTTCCACATGCATGTCCATATTTTGGTGTTGGTCAAGGACTTCATAATGTTTATGACCTAAGTGTTCCATTTGATTAGGTTTTGGGAGCTATGAACTAAAGTGAATACATGCATGTTATGTTCACCTCATGTTCTTACATTTCAAGTGGAATTTTGCACAATTGATATACTTTTGGGCTTTGATTTCATGAAATGATCTTTGATTCTCAATATTTTTCAAGATTAGACAAGTTTTCTTGAGTTTTGCCCCAAAAGAACATGATTTGTGGTTTTGAATTTGGGTTTTGAAGTTTAAAGGCAGTTCTGAAAATTCCAGAATTCACACTGTCCACTCGAGCGAGCAAAGTGTCGCTCGAGAGTGAAAATCGAGCTACCAGAAGTTTTTCAAAATTTTACAGGTCGCCCAAGTGACCAAAGTGACGCTCGAGCGAGGACCCTTTTTACTCAGTCTTCCGCTCAAGAGACGATCGAGCGGGAATTTCATGCAACTAGTACTTTTGCCAAGTTTGCAGACCGCTCGAACGAAGAAAGTTACGCTCGAGCGACCACTCACATTTTTCATTTCCACTCAAACGAAGAAACCTACGCTCGAGCGGGGACCTAGTTTTCAGAAATTTAACCAAGTGTGTTTCCAGTACATTTTGGCATTTTCATTGGATCCTAGGCATTCATAGGCCAAGATTAGGACACCCTAATAAGGATAAGGAGAAGAAACACAAAGAGCAAGTGAAATGAGTTATGCACAAATCAAGTATCCGTTACAGTGTATGTATCTGTTATGATAAATGTAGGTCACGCACCATGAGCGGTTGATCCATTGGTTTCCTGCCAAGCTAACTGTACAATTATCTGTGAGTAATAACTTAGTAAAACTATGTTCAATATGAAATACTTTCTAAACTTTATGATATGATATGAATCGTTTTCAAAAGTTACAAAAGTTTATTATGTGATTACGTGAATGATGATCCACTTCTTTGAAATGCTTATGTGGTATCCTTAGCAGAGGCCCTCACCTAGGGGACATAATACTATGGCTTATGGTCATGAGGCCCTCGCTCGGCGGAAATAATACCATGGCCCACGCCCTCGACCGGGGGAAACAATACTGTGGCTCATGTATGAGATATGTTACCTGGTACCAGAGGTTCCATTGTGGAACTTAATAAGCTTGACCAAAGAGATATGTTTAATGCTAATGGATACACCACTCAAGATAAGAATGTGACTATGATTCTGTTCTTGTATATAAGCATGATTATGTTTATGTTCAGTAAGAGACTTGAAATTAAATTGTGATGGGCATCATTAATCAAAACCCTTTACTCTGTTATTATTCACTAGGCTTCCGCTCACTATTTATATTATGTATGTAGATGACCAGACACGTGACCTGGGCTAGAGTTGATGGCCTAAAATTCCATTTTGACTGCCACCCTTTGCGCCTCCCAAGGTAGTTCCGGATCGAGTCAAGCCATGTGACCATGTCTTTTTGAAAGTTCAAAACTGTGATCTCTCTTGTTTTATAAATAATTGTTTTTAATTATCTATATATGGGGTGAAGTATAATTGTTGAATCTATGTGACGTCATGTGTATGCTTATAAAATTTAAAATTATTTTGTTCCATGTATGTCTGCACAGCTCAATAGACGTTGTGTTTTGTATATTTGCTTCCGCAGCCCCTTGATTACATGTTATTTTGTTCAAAGGCCTTTCGTAATCTAAGGATTACTAGCCGGTTACGACACTAAACCTATAGGGGCGGGTTTGGGTCGTGACATTTACAAAGTTTACAGACCGCACGAGCGAAGGAAGTTGCACTCGAGCGATCACTCACATTTTTGGACCTCCACTTGAGCGAAGGAAATTGCGCTCGAGCGAGGTACCCGTTCTCAGCAAATTTGACTAAGTGTTGAAAAGCATATTTTGGCATCCTCATTGCATCCTAGGCATTCCTAGGCTAAGATTAAGACATAATAATGAGGATAAGACTTAGAAACACACTAAGAACGAAACGTAATGAGTTAAGTATATTCTGAATGTGTGTTTCAATCTGTGTATCTGTTATGTTTGTGTAGGTCATGCGCCGTAAGCTATTTGATTTGTCTGCTTTGTCTGACTGCTTTTGGAGCCATCTGTGAGTAATAACTCTAGAAAGCTATGTTTGATTATAAGTATTTTTTAACTGAAATGATATGATCTATTTTCTGAAATGCTATTTTGTGAGTCATGAAGGAATGCCCATTTTTCTGAAATGTATTTGTGGCATCCTTAGTTCACGTGGCCCTCGCTTGGGGGTAACAATACCGTGGCCAATATGCACGTGGCCTTCGCCCGTGGGTAACAATACTGTGGTTTATACTCATGTGGCCCTTGCCCGGGGGTAATAATACCGAGGTTTATGTTCACGTGGCCTTTACCTGGGGGGTAACAATACCATGGCTACTTGTGCACGAGATGTGGACCTACGTGGTCGTTGGTACCAACTGTGCAAGAACTGATATGATATGATAGCTAAATAGATGTACCACATATAACTGCAATGATTTCTGGTTAAGTATGTGAATCTGAATTTGTATCTGATATGAAATCAGTTATGGGGCATCATTCATTAATTCTTTACTCCGTTATTATTCAATAGGCTTCCACTCACTATTTATATTATGTATGTAGGTGAACAAGAGCATTAACAACTCTTCCAAGGTTGTTAACAACTCCGCCAGTCCCAAGCCCGGTTTAAGGAGGAGGGTTGTGTGTTAAGTAGCCGACAGCCAACACGTAAAAAAGCTGCTCGGATCCCTTATGATAATGAATCCTACTTTGGTTTGGTTATGTAGGTGAACAAGAGCGTGATCAGGCCTAGCTGCTGCCTGGAGTCTCTATTTTGTCAGCCAGCTGGAGGTTCCCTTTTGTGATCAGTCATATTTATGTAGCCCTATGTAGCCCCATGTTTATAGAGCATTAACAAGTTTCTTTCGACTCTTATATCTGTATTTCGGGCTAAGTTCCCTTTGGCTATATCTGTAATATAGGTGACATAAGACCACTCTCTTTTGACGTCACAAATTTGAATATAAAGTTTTGGGATTATCTATCCCATGTACGTCTGCACAGCTCTATGGACTATGTACGTTTCAATATTTGCTTCCGTAGCCCCTTATTATACGATAATCTATTCAGAGGCCTTTGGTAATCTAAGAATTACTGGCCGGTTACGATGCTAAACCCATAGGGTCCGGTTTGGGTCGTGACAAAAAGCATGCCAATCCAAGTTAATTCAATTGTAGTGTGAGAAAGAGATCAATACTCTGCTTCAATAAAGGACCGAGAGTCTGTGGCTTGCTTTTTGGCTGACCAAGACACATGATTGGACCCCAGAAATATACAATAACCTAATGTAGATTTCCTGTTAGAAATATCGCCAGCCCAATTAGAATCAGAAAAGGCATGAATATCAAACGAGCTGGGAAAATATGTCAGACTATGACCAATAGTTCCTTTAACAAATCGAAGCAATTGTTTAACTACAGCAAAGTGACCAACTGTGAGAGAATGCATGTGTTGACAAGAGTGATTCACTGCCAAAGAGATGTCTGGACGAGTGATGATAAGGTATTGAAGAGCACCAACTAAGCTTCTATAGAGAGCAGGATTAGAAAATAAAGCATCTAAATCAGAGGAAGACTGAGGTTTAACTGTCAGGGGAGAAGAACAGGGTTTACATTCAGCTAAACCTGCCTTGGTCAGAATATCTTGAGCAAATTTCTTTTTAGACAAAACATATGTCACAACCCAAACCCGCCCCTATAGGTTTAGCATCGTAATCGGCCAGTAATCCTTGACTTACCAAAGGCCCCTTAATAGAAAGACATATTATAGGGGGCTACAGAAGCGAATATAGAAATATACATTGTCCATAGAGTTATGTTAACATATGTGAGACAGAAGTCTTTAATACAAACTTATATATATATATGTGACATCATAAATACACTAGTCTTACGTAGCCAAAGCCACATGTACAAAACTTTCCAAAACATATTTAAACAAAACAAAAACATAAGAAGGTACAAAAGAAATTCCCAAGACTCAAAACTTGATCAGATCTCAAAAGGGAACCTCCACGAGAGGCACAATGGTTGGTAACACCAAAACTCACCAGGCAGCAACTTAGGCCTGCTCACCTTCATATATAATAAATAAATAGTGAGCGAGAGCCCAGTGAATAATAACAGAGTAAAGGGTATTGATGAATGATGATGTCCATAACATGGTCATAAAATCAGAGTTTATATCAGAAAAAGATTTACATTAATATTCTTTTTCAAGTCAATAACAGAAATCACAATGCATGCTTAATCTCACATCCGTTAGCGCTATCAGATCACATACTAAACATCAAGGGTCATACTTGTCAATTCCATAAAAGAACCTCCGGCCGAGTACAGATAACTTGTCAGTTCCATAAAGGAACCTCTAGACCGGGTACAGATAACTTGTCAGTTCCATAAAGGAACCTCCGGCTGGGTACATATAACTTGTTAGTTCCATAAAGAAACCTCCAGACCGAGAACAGATAACACCCTTGAGCCATGGAATTGTTGCCACGAATACTTTTCAAAATATGGACAATCATTCATTTATACAAAGCATAGCATTTTAGAAAAATGATCATTTCATATCATCAGAAAATAATTAAAGTCAAACATAACTTTACAGAGTTATTATTCATAGATGGCTCCACTTGCAGAATAGACAAATCAAATAACTTGTGGCATGTGTCCTACACATATAGCAGAAAGGCATAATGAAACACACACTCAGCTGGTACTTAACTCTTTTCGTTTCATTCTTAGTGTGTTTATAAGTCTTAACCTCTTATTAAGTCTTAATCATGGCCTAGGAATGCCTAGGATGCAATGTGGATGCTAAAATGCACTTTGGAACCCTTAACAAAACTTGCTGAAAACAGGGGTCATGCTCAAGCGCAGCTTCCTTCGCTCGAACGGACATGCAAATATGTAAGGGCCCGCTCGAGCGCAGATTCCCTTACTCCAGCGGTCTATAACTTTTGAAAAGGTACTGGTTATATGATTTTCACGCTTAACAGAAGCTCGACTGTCGCTCGAGCATGAGACTCAAGTCCTTGCTCGAGCGCAACTCTTGTCGCTCGAGCGGTCTGCAAAAACATGAAACTTCTGGGAGCTTGCATTTCACGCTCAAGTGGACTTCTTCTGGTCGCTGGAGCGGAAGTGTAAGATCACAGAGTGGTCACTCGAGCGTGGGTTTTGACGTTCGAACGGAGAGCAAAATTCTTCCAGATTGCTCTTCTCAGCTCAAAGCTCAAATTCAAAGTTGTAAAACAGGTCTTTTGGGCCAAAAACTTGAGGAAACAATAGGAAACAATTGTAAATGGTGAAACCATGGTAAATTCAAAATCATCTCACAAGATCAAGGCCTAGAAGCTTGCCAATTGTTCAAGACAAAACCCAAATCTTTGAAAACATAACAATATATATATATATATATCATGCATGTAAAAGTGAAAGTTCCAAGCTTTCAAAACATGATCCAATGAGGTGTCTAACTCAAAAATATGTTGAATTCTTAGACCAAGGCCAAAATGAGGACATGCAAGAGGGAATTCTTTGAAAACAACGTCAAATTATAATGAAATGAACATGCATGCATGATCTAGTTCATTTCTCTTTAATTCTAACTCAATTCTTGTATCAATCTACTTATTTCTTTAGAGTTCATGTCCTACACATCATAATTGTACAATTCAAGGGTTGAATTCTTACCTAGGCTTCCCAAGATGCGTGCTAGAGGCTTAATTCTTACGTTTCCAAGTCCAATGCCTTCAATTCTTAGCAGCTCTCCCTTCTCCTAGCTTTGATTTCAATTTCCTTCCTTCTCACATTTTTCTCTCTAAAGTGGGGTGATAGGAAAGTGTATAGTGAACTAATGAGTTCATATGAGCCTTATATAGTCTTAATTAGTGGCTTAATTAAGTTATTGATTAAGCCAACTAATCGGACATTAATTATTCTAATTTAATCGTTCCAAATTGAATTTTAATTAAACTTATCATAAAATTCTAAAATTCCCAAATAATATATAAATCAAGTCAATTTCATAATTAGATGCCGATAAGGCCTTCAATACACAAAATGAAATGAAAACGGAAATAGATATGTCTACGGTAAACAGATATGAGTACAATCATGCAACACACATACATCCAATTAATTCATAATTTCACCTTAATTATTGATTAGACTTATTTAACCATGAATTAACGTTAATCAGAGGTCGGGGTTATTACAGTCTTCCCCCCTTAAAAAGTTTGGTCCTCCAAACTCGAAGTACCTTCATTTTAGAAGAACGTTGGATCTAACGGAAATAAATCTGGATATCTCTTCATCATATATTCTTCTGTTTCCCATGTAGCATAAGTTCCCCAATGATTCAGCCAATCAACTTTCACTAGTGGAATTTCCTTGTTCCTTAATCTCTTGATTCTTCAGTTAACAATTTGAATTGGCCGTTCTTCATACGTATAATCATCCTTCAAAAGTACATATGTCGGCTCAATAACATGGAATGGATCTCTTAAATAATCCTGAAGCATAAAGACATGGAAAACGTTGTGCATATGTTTCATGACTAGTGGTAAGGCTACCCGATACATCACCGGATTGATCTTCTCAAGAATCTCATATGGCCTTACATATCTCGCTGCCAATTTACCTTTCACACCAAACCGCGTTTTCCCTTTCATTGGAGTTACTTTAATAAACACGTGATTCCCGACTTCATATTCTCTGTCTCTTCTTCGGACGTCAGCATAACTCTTTTGCCGACTCTGTGCAGTTTTCAAACGTTGTTAGATCAGTTTCACTTTCTCGGTTGTTTCTTGTACAAGCTCCAATCCCAGCAATAGTCTATCACCAACTTCGGCCCAGCAAATCGGTGATTGACACTTTCTATCATATAAAGTTTCATAAGGAGCCATGCCAATACTTGAATGATAGATGTTGTTGTATACAAACTTGGCTAAATGAAGGTAAGTCCCCCAACTCCCTTGGAAGTCCAACACACACATCTGTAGCATATCTTCTAAAGTTTGATTGATTCGTTCAGATTGACTGTCTGTCTATGGGTGGTAAACACTACTCATCCGTAGTTCAGTTCCCAAAGCCTATTGCAAACTCTGCCAAGACCTTGATGTGAACTTCGAATCTCTGTCAAATACAATGGATACTGGCACACCATGTAACCTCACAATCTCATTCACATAAATGTTAGCTAACTTATCCGCATTGTAAATAGTCTTAACAAGTAAAAAATGGACAGACTTAGTTAAAGGATCAACAATAACCCAAATAAAATCCATACCTTGGGAGAAGCGAGGTAGTCCAATAATAAAATCCATGGTAATATGCTCTCATTTCCATTCCGGCATTGGAAGTGGCCGAAGTAATCCAGTGGGTCGTTGATGTTTAGCTTTGACTTTGTTGGCAGTGTAAACATGGGGCCACAAAATTAGCAATGCTTTTCTTCATTCCAGGCCACCAAAAGTTTTGTTTCAAGTCATGATACATTTTTTTATTTCTTGGATGCATAGCAAATTTTGAATTGTGGGCCTCAATCATAACACATTTCCTCAATTCATACTTCATTTTCAACCACGAATCCCGGCCTTGGTTTTAAGTCAATTTCATCAAAAAAATTCTTCAAAAATTCATCTGCATGTTGTTTCTCTTTGATCTCTTCAATGATTGCAGGTTGGGCAGAAATGGCAGTCAAGATCTCGCCTTGTTCACGCAACACAATTTCAATTTCATTCTTCTCCAAGTCACACAATAACTCTCTCCGGCCGGTGAGCAAACATGACAAATTCCCAATAGATTTTCGGCTCAATGCATCTGCAATGGTATTTTCCTTCCTTGGATGATACAAAATTCGCAAATCATAGTCCTTGATTAATTCCAACCATCTCCTCTGTCTCATGTTCAGCTCTTTTTGGGTGAAGAAATATTTTAAGCTTTTATGACCAGTGTATACTTCACAAGTTACACCATACAAATAATGGCGCCAAATTTTTAAAGCAAACACCACAGTTGCCAATTCAAGGTCATGAGTCGAATAGTTCTTTTCACGAGGATAGAGTTGCCGAGAGGCATAAGCAATTACATTTCCATTCTACAATAACACACAACCCAAACCATTATAGGAAATATCACTGCAAATCTAGAACCCAACGGTACCCTTTGGCAAAGTCAAAATCGGTGCAATTACTAACCTAGTCTTCAACTCTTGGAAGACAGACTCTCTTTGATTGTTCCAGTCAAATGATACATTTTTCTAGATCAATTGGGTCAATGGCATAGCAAGTTTTGAAAATTCTTTTACAAATCTTCTGTAGTAACCTGCAAGTCCCAGAAAACTTCTAACTTTTGACACGCCTGTTGGTCTAGGCTAGTCCACATTAGCTTTAATTTTATGTGGGTCAATAGAAAATGTCTCAAAAATGCTACACTATCAAGCCAGAATTCACATTTGGACAATTTTGCATACAATTTCTTTTCTCTCAGAATCTATAATATAGTTCTCAAATGATTCTCATGTTCTTCCCTGCTTTTAGAATAAATTAGTGTGTCGTCAATGAATATAACAATAAATTCATCAAGAAATGGTTTAAACACCCTATTCATCAAGTCCATGAAAGCTGCATGCGCATCTGTTACTCCAAATGGCATAACTAAAAATTCATAATGTCCATATCTAGTTCGGAAAGCAGTTTTCTCAATGTCTTCTGCTTTCACCTTTAGCTGGTGATATCCGGATCTAAGATCTATTTTAGAGAACATTTGTGCTCCTTGAAGTTGGTCAAACATGTCATCTATTTGGGGTAGTGGATGTTTATTCTTCATGGTTACTTTGTTTAGTTCTCTATAATCTATACATAGTCATAAAGACCCATCTTTCTTCTTAACAAATAACATCGGGGCACCCCAAAATGAAGTGCTCGGGCGGATAAAATTTTTGTCTAACAGTTCCTGAAGTTGAGTTTTCAATTCTTTCAATTTAGAGGTAGACATTCTGTATGGGGTTTTAGAAATTGGTTGTGTCTCGGGTACCACATCAATGGTGAACTCAATTTCCCTATCAATTAACTCCCCAGGCAATTCATTCGGAAACACATCGGGAAATTCACAAACAATAGGAATGGTTTCCATATTAGCATTATCAGGAGATACAATCAATGCACAACACAAGTAGCCTGACAACCTTTCCTTAACAATTTCCGAGCTTTCATAATTGAGATTAAATATGGTGGAGGAACCACCCCATTCCCAGTAAAAACAAACTCAGGCATACCAAGTGGTCTAAATACAAAAGATTTACTCACACAATCAATGGTGGCACAATATTTAGTCAACTAATCCATGCCCAATATATAGTCAAAATGATTAATCCCCAAGGGGTAATAAATCAACATACAATGTCATGTCACCAATCACAGCATCACATGTTGGGTATACATAAGCACATATCATAGATACTCTAGATGGTGTAGACACAAATAGTAAACAGCTCATAGGTTATAACGGGCTAGTTAATTTCTAAGAAAGAGCATGTGATACAAATGAATACGTGGAGCCAGAATCTATTAACACATAGGCATTTTTAGCACAGATAGTGATTATACCTGGCACCATAGATTTGGTGTTTTGCACATCTCCAGGCACTAATGCAAACACTCTCCCTTGTCTTAGTGTTTCAGTCTCGGTATTATTCCAGACATTAGTTCTTGCATTAGTCCTCGTTGTAGGAGTGGATCCAGCTGAACTTGCAGCAGGGTGGTTAGCATTCTCAAACCTCAGCGGACAATCTTGAATCATGTGGCCAGTTTGCTACATTGAAAACACGTATTGGACGCACGGTGACAAGGGCCTTTATGTTTCCTTCTACTCTAGCTAGAGCCACTACTCTAGCTAGAGCTACAAGAAGATCCCGTGTTCTGCCTCTTTGGGAATGATTGGCTCTTCTTGAAATTGAATTCGGACCGTTTACCCTTCTATTCAGTTGTTGGAGCTGGAGTTTGTTTCTTTGCTGCCAAAATGGCCTTTGCCATCAATGCTCTATCAAGGACTTCTACATATGTTGGCAATTTCAAAACGCCAACTTGATCATACACTTCTAAGTCCAAACCATCTTCAAATTTTTATGTTTTCTTATAATCGGTGTCTACCATGTGTGGGGCAAAACGGGCTAACTCAGTAAACTTGGCCTCATATTCGGCCATTGACATCCTGCCTTGTTTGAGTTCTTGGAATTCTGACACTTTCCGATCCCTGAAGCATTGGGGAAAATACTTGTTGTAGAAAATCTCAATAAACTGAGCCCACGTTATGTTCCCATTGTTAGTTTGGATCAGTATCCACCATCTCCGGGCTTCATCTTTCAGGGTATAGGTGGCCAAAAGGACTTTCTAGATCTCTAAACAAGGACATACCTCGAATAATTTCTTCATTTCCAACAACCATGTTTCAGCCTTTAATGGTTCAATACCATCAAGCAAAGTTGGCGGTTTTATCTTCATGAACTTCTGACTGAGGTTGATTATATCATTGTTGTCCGGTTCAACTTGTATTGGTGGAGGCGGAGGAGGTAAAGGTTGTTGCCTCAGTTATTGCGTCATTGCTTCAGTCAGGGCTGTAAGCATCTATTCCATTCTGTTCATTCGGGCCTCAGAAGATTCACTTGTATCACTTCCCCTTGCATTCTCCATGTTGCTATAGAGAGACAAGGTAATAATAAACATAGCAATAATCTTGTCCATTTCTTTACATTTCATTTGTTTAGGTTCAAATTTAGTTTCCACATTTATAAAGATTAGCATACACTCACACATGCAGATAAAATGTCCCTAATTCTTTTCTAGGACATTCCATAGCTCGTATGGATTCGTGTGTGCGGTATTACATGTGCTCTGATACCACTCTGTCACAACCCAAAATAAGTCACGCCGCTATAGGTTTAGTATCATAACCGGCCAGTAATCCTTAGATAACTAAAGGCCCCTTAATAGAAAGACATATTATAAGGGGTTACGGAAGCGAATATAGAAATATACATTGTCCATAGAGTTGTGTTCATTCGGGCCTCAGAAGATTCACTTGTATCACTTCCCCTTGCATTCTCCATGTTGCTATAGAGAGACAAGGTAATAATAAACATAGCAATAATCTTGTCCATTTCTTTACATTTCATTTGTTTAGGTTCAAATTTAGCTTCCACATTTATAAAGATTAGCATACACTCACACATGCAGATAAAATGTCCCTAATTCTTTTCTAGGACATTCTATAGCTCGTATGGATTCGTGTGTGCGGTATTACATGTGCTCTGATACCACTCTGTCACAACCCAAACCAGCCGTTATAGGTTTAGTATCGTAATCGGCCAGTAATCCTTAGATAACCAAAGGCCCCTTAATAGAAAGACATATTATAAAGGGTTGCGGAAGCGAATATAGAAATATACATTGTCCATAGAGTTGTGTTAACGTATATGAGACAGAAGTCTTTAAAACATACTTATATATATATATATGTGTGTGTGTGTGTGTGTGTGTGTGTGTGTGTATGACGTCATAAATACACTAGTCTTACGTCACCAAAGCCACATGTACAAAACTTTCCAAAACATATTTAAAGAAAAAAAACATAAGAAGGTACAAAAGAAATTCCCAAGACTCAAAACTTGATCAGATCTCAAAAGGGAACCTCCACGAGAGGCACGATGGCTGGCTAACACCAAAACTCGCCAAGCAGCAACTTAGGCCTGGTCACGCGCTTGCTCACCTACAGACATAATAAATAAATAGTGAGCGAGAGCCCAATAAATAATAACGGAGTAAAAGATTTTGATGAATGATGATGTCCATAACATAGTCATAAAATCAGAGTTTATATCAGAAACAAATTTACATTCACATTCCTTTTCAAGGCAATAACAGAAATCAGAATACATGCTTAATCTCACATCCGTTAGCGCTATCAGATCACATACTAAACATCAAGGGTCATACTTGTCAATTCCATATAGGAACCTTCGGCTAGGTATAGATAACTTGTCAGTTCCATAAAGGAACCTCTAGACTGGGTACGGATAACTTGTCGGTTCCATAAAGGAACCCCCGGCTAGGTACAGATAACTTGTCAGTTCCATAGAGGAACCTCCGGACCGAGAATGGATAACACCCTTGAGCCATGGAATTGTTGCCATGAATACTTTTCAAAATATGGACAATCATTCATTTATACAAAGCATAGCATTTCAGAAAAATGATCATTTCATATCATTAGAAAATAATTAAAGTCAAACATAACTTTAAAGAGTTATTACTCACAGATGGCTCCATTT